CTCCCTTCCTCTTACTCGTCTCCTTTGCTCTCCTGTCCGCTCTGAACAGTTGAAATCCGTTAAGAGTTATGTGTGGGTCTGGAGAGAGTTCGTTCAGTCAGGTCTCCATGAAGCACATCATACTACACTCCCAGTACTCCCTCTGCAGTCTGGTCAGTGCCGTGAGCTCTTCCATCTTATTAGGGAGAGATCTCACATTCCCCATAATAACGGAGGGTACAGATGGTTTGTACCGTCTTTTCCGCTCCTGACACTCCTGACTCCAGCTCTGCATCCCCGTCTCCTTCTCCTTAACTCCTTGGGGATCTCCCGTCTCTCGTTGGGGAGTACATGAATGTGGCAGAGCGCCAACAGCTGATCGCGGGTGTAAATAATCGATCCGTGGCTGAATGGCTCTCCAGAAGTCGCTTTAAACAGTCCAGAAGTGAATAAAAAGCATAAAACAAATCTCAGCAGTTGCACATCCATTGTTGAACGTGAACAAGTGAGATTTGTGGATAAAAAAATAACAAAAAACACAAACAACACACTTAAAGGAGAGAAAGGGGTCTGAGCTACTGTAACCAGCTGCCACTGGGGCGGCGCCATCTTGAAAAAAAAAAAAAAATCTATCGCATTTCCTATATAATACACCGAGCACCTTCTCTCCTTCTCTCTCTCCTTTGCTAAGAATTATGTCTGTACTGCATGTCACTAACTCGACTTCTTCTCCGGAGCCTTTGTGTTCCACTGTCTGGCAGGTTACCTCGTATCGCAGCTGTGCCTGGATGGTGTGTCGTGGTTGTGCTGCTGCCACGGTCCTGCCTGATGCCTCCTACTGCTGCATTAGTCATACTTCTACTGTTATTACACACATATGATTATTATTGTCATATACATATACTATCATATATTAATATATACTTACAACATATTATACCACAAGAGCCGTAATTATTATTATAATGTTACTACTTAAATTAATGTTGTTGTAAGCTACTGTCATTACTGTCTATCCTGCATCTCTCTCTGTCTCTGTCCCTCTTTATGTATCATTTTGTCATATGGAACACTGTAAATTTATTATGTTGATTTGTTCTGTGCGACATCTGTTGCATATCTGTCTGTCCTGGAAGAAGGATCCCTCCTCAGTTGCTCTTCCTGAGGTTTCTACCATTTTTTTCCCGTTGAAGGGTTTTTTGTGGGGAGTTTTTCATTATCCACTGTGAGGGTACAGTGGTCAGAGGTATGTCGTATGCTGTAAAGCCCTCTGAGGCAAATTGTGATTTGTGATATTGGGCTTTATAAATAAAATTGATTGATTGATTAAAGGGGGGCAAAATGGCAAAACTTTTACAGTGCAGTTATTGACCGAGGCGGTATTTGTACTGAATGTCAGCAGGGCCAGGTGTGATGCACACGGAAAGATAGCTTACTAGCTAATGTTGAGTAGCTTGCTAATAAATCCTGCAAAACATGATATCATTGGTACATTTTCTTTTTTCTTATGCTCCATATCTGTCTCTTGACTGACTGCCAGCCGAGCAGCATCTCTCCTGTGGGGCAGTTTGTATGTTTAATGGCCAATATCATACAATATTGGCTGGTTTCAGAGGAGAACAATCCCTGTCTCTCCCACACAAACTTCTTTGCTATTGGTTGAGGCTGCAACTTCGCTGGTCAAAGTTCACCAAAGTTAAACTTCAGGCAATGCGAAGATGTGAATTTGCTTTGTTGCTTTGCCAACAGAAGCAAATGTTTTAAGCCCAGTTCAGATCAAAGATTGGCGACAAAAGGAGTTTAAACAGGCAATTACTTGCAATGTGCCATTCTGCAATGTTGGAAAAAACCTGCCAGTTCACACCATGAGACAGTCTATCATCTCTATGCAACAGTTCTCTGTACTTCTGTTCTGATTTTTAGCTTTTCAGGCTTATTTTGTGGCTGAATATAAATTTTATCTTCTTAAAATATGAATGAGGATAATGATGGTGAGATACTGGCTACAGTTGCATTTGTAGTCATGATGAAACTGTAAAAAACAGAAACAAAACAAGCATCAGATGGACTGTAATCATAATAAATACGCCACAATAATATAACTAACCAGTGCCAATTAATCAGTCAGTGAGAATGTGTGTGTGTGTGTGTGTGTGTGTGTAAGCACATACAGTGAGCAGCAACAGTGATCCACAGTTTGACACCAGCACGCTGTGAGGACGGAAATAGAGGGCTCAGCAGGGACGGAGCATCTGCCACAGCAAGCGAACACACCATCTGCGGTCATTTTGACTTGGTCAGCGAACTCCTCGTCCGCTCTTCAATTTCAATGAGCTCTGAGTCCGTGTACGTGCGTGTACTCCGTGTTCAAATAAATACGGGCGGTCATCAAATTGAAATGGCTCATCCAGATCCAGTTGGTCAAAATCTGGTAAAAATTCAGACATGTTTGTTGTGGCAAATCAAAACACTGGCTGAGGTCGAACAGTCTTTTTTGCTTAGGAAGGTTCCTAACTGAGAGAAATGACGTGAAGTATCTAAGTGGCAGCCATGATAAGAGCTGATCAAATTCTCTAAATTTTAAGGAAAGGTGCTTCAATGCTTCCTTTCTAATCTCCTTTAGCACAGGGTACACTGGACCATCCTTAATGAAAGGAGGTAATTCCGTCCCACAAGTCCTTATGGTGGCAATACTTAAAGCGACCAAGCACCGCACCATTCACAAACTCAAATGATTAGGAAAGAAAAAGATCAACATGACCGAGAAAGGAAGGAGATCACCGTGTAAGTTACCGCATTATTTTAATTTTCCGATTTTCGTGTGAATGAGAAAAAACGGAAATCGACGTGCCTTTCCCGTTTTCGTCTTCAAATGGCTAATTGAAATAGAAATTAAACCAAAACCAGAAGCCTACTTGTTTTTTTCCTTGATTGTTATATCTATATTATCTGCCCCTACTGCATCTCAAAATATTGGCATTGGCTATGCTTATGGCCTAGACAGACAGACAGATAGACAGACAGATAGATAGATAGATAGATAGATAGATAGATGTTCTGCTTCTTTGTGCCCCCCCTTACCCAATCGGTCAAAGCAGATGGCTGCCCACCTACAGCCGGGTTCTGCTCGAGGTTCGAGTTCTTCCTTACCGCTGTCGCCAAGTGCTGCTCATGGGGGAATTGTTGGGTCTCTGTAAATTCAATTATCTAATTATCTAATTCATTATCTAGACCTGCTCTTTGTGTAAAGTGCCCTGAGATGACTTTTGTTGTGATTTGGTGCTATATAAATAAAATTGAATTGAACTGAAAAAAATAATAGATAGATCATCAATGAAGTAACGTTGCTGTGCCTCGTGCGTAAATGCGCATATAGGCCTAATTGGCGTATCTGGAGATTTAAATAAACAATGAAGTTACTGCTTCCCACTTTTGATTCCCCTGTACAGTGTTTCCCTGCAGAGCTACAGTGGAAGGATCATAACAAAAAATACAAAAGACTGTTACATTAAAAGATATCTGCTTGAGGTTATTAAATACTTGCAATAAATACAGCAGAAACAATAAGCGTGTTTCCCCATAAAGAGAGACTCTGTGCGCATTTACACACGAGGCACAGCAGCATCACTTTTATTATTATTTTTCACTTTTATTATTAATATTATTATTTATCTATCTATCTATGCAGTAGTGGCACATAATATTGATATAACAATAAACACAAGTTGGTTACTGGTTGTGGTCTAATTTCTATTCATTTGAAGAAGAAAATGGAAAAAACGTGGATTTCCATTATTTTTTTATTCACACAGAAAAACAAATTAATGCATTTAATATTTGTTTATCCTGTTATAAAACAAACAAGTTGAACACAGCTGTGGACGGAGGGGACACGCACCGTAACATATGCTCAGTTTGCATCAGTCATTTATTCATTTGAGCGTTGTTGTATTGCCAGTCTTTAGTGATATCATTAATTAATTTTACTATTTGGGATTCAGATGGGTGAGTGTGGCCAAGCATTCTCAATGTGACAATTTCGTTTGAGTTTGTGGCTGGTAGCCTATAATCCTTTTTTTATTTCAATTCCGACCTTAGTAATTAAATAATATCTTTCACCGTGTTGTCCACGTTTATATATCCTGCATGAATCAACACGATGAGAACGTAGGGGGCGCATTATTGAAGATGCACTTTTTGTAGTCCATCTTCAGAACATTGTAGTTTCACCACAGCAGACCTACTTCAATAACATCCGCCATCACATCATTACATAGCCCAGTGTAAGTGCAGTCGGATTCTCTCAGCACCGCAGTTGTCTTTTCTTAAGTCCTTGTGAATTCTCCTTCATATCTTCCCTTGACCTTGCGACGTTTTCCATCGAGGTCATGGAAAAGTGGTTAGGAAAAGACGATAGGAGGGACTTTTTGACCGCAGCCACTCACTCAGAGAGTGAAAGTCTGACTCTGAAATCTCACGTCTCGCAAGATTTGAGTTGTTGCAGGAAGTTACCGCTGGAGTGACCTTACGTATTTTGACGTTGTTTGACGTTGTCTGAGTGCCCTATTATTTAACATAGCACGCGCTCACGGGCTGCAGGCAGGTCAGCCCTAGCTTTGTACTGGAGAAATTTCAGATATTGAACATCCTATCACTCATTTAGACAAAAGTAGATCCAAAAATAGGGCCCAGGTTGAAAAAAACATTAGTTCCCCTTTCACTACAAGCCAATTGGCTGTTGAAACTGGCGATGTGATTTATGTTCTAAAACTAGCCACCAACAATTTGACCAGCTGAGTTGCAGGTGACAACCTCAGCCAGTTTGAGTCAAGCTCAGACTGGCCAGTTCACACCGCTGCAACTTTTCTCTGCAACATTCTACAACGGTTGTGTCTCGTCACCAATCTTTGGTCTGGTCTGAGTTTTATTCGCTCTTTCCCTAACATTGAATTGAAGTGAACAGAAGGCCAGTATTCGCCAATAATAATTTCACTCATGTGTGACAGTGCCCTGACTCTGACCTTCCACTGGATGTCTCCGTTGAAGAGCTCAGTTTTGGCGATGTCCACTCGGTTCCAGGCCACAGCTAGTTTCAACTCCTCTATGTACTCACTGGCATCACTGGACACACGTTTACTAGCTTAACACACAAACACACACACACACACACACACACACACACACAGCAACATTTACACGTACTGTACAACAAATGAGACTGGATAAATAAAACTGGACAAACAGGTAATTTGGGGGTCTTCACTGTGTAATGTGGGTGATATGTTGGTTAAGAAGACAGGGTCTGAACTGATGTTACGCACTAAAGAGGTGGGGTGGGAGATACCTGGGATTTTACAGCTTAACAGTCACTAAAATATGTTTCTAAAGACATTTGAGGCTAGAAAAAGGCAATGCCGTAACAGAATCGGTGCTGCCTAGTTTGACTGCAGTTCATGAGCAGGGATTACATGACTGACAGCTGTCTTCCAGACTCCTTGGCTCTGATTGGTTGTTTTCATTCACATGCAGAAGCACTATATTTTTCACAGATTACCTGTCTCATAAATGCTGTGTGATTATGGTGACAGTGTCAGCAAATCTGATTTTTTTTTTTTTTTTTTAATACAGCTACAGTTATAAGTATTTTGTGACATTATGCTCCTTAAAGGTGCTAAGTAAACAAAACAAATACATAAAAATGTATCTACTCACTTACCTCTAACAAGGGCTTTGAGGAGAACTGTATCAAAATCCTCAGAACCTTCCTGTTCCCCATGGAAAACAGTGATGAGCTCTCTGTTCTGATAAATATTCAGAGCCTAGACACACAGAGGGACATGAACCAATCAATGTTTGGAAAAAGTTTAATTTCATACATAATCAACACTAACATAACTACTCAGACTATAGGCAGATCAAATAGAACAGTACTGGATGATCTGTAGATTATATAAATAGTAAGACAATTATATTAACCAGCCAGATTTCATCCTATTAATTTCTCCCATGAGCAATATCAGAATTATTAGAGGTTTTTCCGACATAAAACTCTTCTTATTGAATCATCAAATGATAAAGGCACTCTATAAAAAATCAGCTTAGTTGATACAAAGTCACTGGTGACAGACAGCAGGAGTGAAGTTCTTGCACACCACTGGAGAGACTCAGGGCATCATCCTGGTATGACTGCCCCCTGCTCATCACAGTACAGTTAGCCTTTGAGAACCCGTTTCTACAAGAACTTCTGTGTGAAGGAAAATGAACATTCCAAAGTGGGAGGCACCCACATGCACACACGCAGGTATGGGGGTGAATAGGGTGTGAAAAGGGTCACAACAGGACAAGATGCACGTCCATAACGTGTGTGTGTGTGTGTGTGTGTGTATGTACATCTGTGTGTGCATCCTGTGACTGAATGTGCACACACACTAGTGGTATCATATGAAACTATAGATAATTTGGGGCATCCATTGGCTTCCTCATGCAAGCTAGTGAATGCTAGTGAATAGTGTCTGCTCATCTGTATAATATCTGTTTTCTGCATTCTCTCCCATCTTGCATCAAATACTTAAGCTAGATTCCTATTGCTCTGGTTTATTATCTCCATTTTATAGATCTTGTTAATTGTATCCTTGCATTCGCTTTGTTGTGGCACCTCCAGTTTCAATCAGTTTTTTGTTATCTGTTTAAGTGTGGTTACTCTTAAAGTTCTAAAAAGACACTTATCAGTTTGTTGAGAGAGTAGCTGTGGTGTTCGGCCAAGTAACAATTGCTTGGGCCCCAAAATTAGTGAGCACTGAAACATGCTGTCTATAACTCCCCTTATTTCTGTCCAATATTGCTGCAAGACCAGATAGGAATAGAATATGTGGGTATTGTTGGCTTTTACCTCCCCAAATTTTGGCCAACAGCTTGGTGTTCTCGCCTTAGACTATTTTACCTGGATAACAAGTCTTCAAAAGAAACGCATTTGAATTTTCCAAGAATATTCTCTCTAAATGAATGAACTTGTACATTGTACATGTATTATTACTGATGTCCCTTCGTATGTCTGGAGATATATCTACCTTTAATTCCTTCTCCCAGCTGGTGATTGCTTTAATTTCTTGACTTCTAGATTCGTCTTCCAAAGTTTGATAAATCTGACTTGATATGTTTTTTGAGTTAGCTCTATTAGATATTTTTATTACGCAAGCTGTTAAAGGGCATATCTCTGTCGCTGTTTTATTTATTCCCAGTTTTGCCTAATTTGTGGGTATTTATAAATGTGAGATTTTGGGAGGTCATATAATTTTAATAATAAAAATAAAATGCATTTTCATCACCTCAGAAGCCTTTATTTCTATATATTTCTGTGTTATTTCAGGTCTGAATGATTCAAGTAGAACTTTAGTGGGCTACAATAACAATAAGAAAAAATACAATGTCACATCAGTACTGCAATGAACTGTGGGCAATTAAGAACAGATGTCTGACTTACACTATCCACCAGTTTTTCCAGTTCAGCTTCAACTGGGAAGTGTCTCCGAACTTTGTCACGGACCTTGTCACGGAGCTCTGCGTTGTGACCCTCAGTAGCCTCCCCCTCTGCTGGACAAGAAGTGGGACTGAGGCAAACAGGGGAGAGATTACCAAGCAGTTCACTGACAAGGTCTGCAGCTGGACCCGAACCAGCAAGAACCAACCAGGGTGTAGATTTCTTCAGAGAGGTATCTAATCTCTAAACCAGGGAAGATATTGACACAAAATAAGATTTTCATTGATCTCATATTTAATAAGAGCCTCAGTGAGATGGACATCTCTCTTTTTAACGAGCTGTGGACTGAAAAGTATCCACAGAGCTGACAAAACACATCTGAGAGTCACGGTTAAATACTGGGGTACTTTATTAAAAAAAAAGGTACATCATATCATATGCGAGACACTGCTTTATAATTATACATAGATAGATAGATAGATAGATAGATAGATAGATTGATTGATTGATTGATTGATTGATTGATTGATAGAGAGAGAGAGAGAGAGAGAGTCACAGTTTTTCATGTGGCATGCTGCTGATGGCCATGTAACTCCTTGTGACTGACTGACTGACTGACTGACTGAATGAATGAATGAATGAATGAATCACTATTCATCTCTGATTTAAAAATGAAACTGTCAACAACTATCCCAAACTTATTTACAACCATTAATACAGATGAATAAACAATAATCTTAGATATTAAAAGTACAAACCCATCTCAACTTTATTTATATCCCAAAAACACCCAGAGCCAAGATAAATAAATAAACCCCCTTTAACTCTTCATCTAACTCATTCCACAAATTCATTCCACACATTCAAATACACATACTTTTCAAAGTTGTATCAACATATATATTTTTTTAGATTTCATTTTTTAGTAAATTATTTCTTGCTTTGTACATTATTTGTACTGTTTTGAATTTAACCAAATCCCCGAATTTCAACGCATGTGACTTTAAAAACAGTGTGCTCCCTATGTCCAACGTTATGTACTATCTATCGTTTTTAGTTTAATTATTTCATTTTTCTACTTTTTGTAGAGTTGTGCGCAGCACATTTGCTTACGTTGTCCTTGCCCTGTTCTCTGCCTCTGTTTATCAGACCTGAAACAAGCATTAGCTGCAGGCCACCCCACAGTACCTCGGCCTTGCTCCCAGCTGCTATGGCCAGGGAAAGCAGGCAGTAGATCCATAAAAAATTATTTCATCAGTTCCATCTGTGCCATGCTTGTATGGGTGAAATATTTTGGTAAAATCTAAAAGATTATTATAGTGTGTGTCAAGTGAGAATGTATTTGACAGTTTCCTTACCTCCAACATACTGGCATCTCCTGAGATGAGCATGCACAGCACTGGGATTTCAATACTGCCGCTACCTGTTAGTGGCCCAAGATAAGAAGTAAGAAGAAACAGACAGCTTCTCTAGAGAAACAATGCATCAAGCAAAGATTATTATCAGTGTTCCAGAAGTGAACTATTTTTTTATCATGAGTTGAACTGACAGAAGTAGGTTTTTGTAACCTTTCAGCTTCAATCAAGATTGTCTACAACTTCTCAGCATTCTACATCCCTTTGTTTTGGCCTGTATTTATCCAAGGTAGGTTTGATGGGCACAAAATGGGAGCACTCTGCTCACACGGCTGCACATATCCAGTATAAGTTTTATCCAACAATCATTTATTTGTGAGGGCATTTGAAACTTAATTTGACATACAATGAGATACGATCTAAAACTATGACCTTCACCAGTAGAAGGCAGGCAAGTACTTACCATGGTCCTACTCTTACAGTACAACAACAATTATATAGCCTATGCTAAGCTAAGTTTCAATGTGTCAGAAGGAAATACACTAATGAGCCAAAACATTGATCATTTCATTGCAATGCAATGCTCTGCTGGTCCTGGCATCCATGCGGATGCCACTTGATGCATTCCACCCAAACGAACAACGTTACAGTACCCATCCTGAGGGCAATGGCACTCCCTGATGGCAGTGGCCCCCCCAGCAAAAACAAAAACTGCTCAGAAACGACCTGAGGAATACGGCAAAGACCTCAAGGCATCAATCTGACCTTCAAATTCCCCAGATCCCAATCTGATTGAGCACTCCCTGACTAGTACGTTCATCTGAACTGTACATCCAAGACTCTCAAGGACTGTGATGCTGACAAGAGAAATAGTTAACAAGCCACAAAGGCCTTGACTGAACTCTTCACAGAAAAAACAAAGAAGAAAGCGAGGAGTGTCTTGACAGATAGTTCCCATCCTCTCTTTATTTAGACAGTTCAAGCTCCTGAGCTCCAGGAGTCCCTCTAGCAACTAAAAATGTAATCAATAAGTCCTTTATCCCAGATGAGTTTTGAACTACGGATAGACAATGAGCTGATTTCATGTGTTAAGTGTTTTGTAATGACCTTGTATGTTTGTTTTATTGACTATCTGTCTGCTTTGATCAATGTTGTCTTTTGTGTCTGGTGAGCCAAAGACAAATTTCCACCTCCGATTGACAATATTCTACACAGTCTTTATACAGTGTGGCCTCCTTGGATTGGACTTGGCTCTGACCTGTGGAGGCACGGACACAAAACCTCTAAAGGTATCCTGTGGTGCCTGGCACTGAGGTATTGTCAGCAAATCCTGTGGGATGTGAGGTGGAGTACCAGCACATCTCACAGATGCTCGATCAGACTGGGATCTGGGGAACTGGGGAACTGGGAGGCCAGATGGATGCCTGAAACTCTTTGTCATATTCCTCAGGCCATTCTAAAGCAGTTTTTCAGTGTGGCATAGGGCACAGTCTTGCTGGGGGACCACTGCCATCAGGGGGTGCTGTTGCCATGAGGGGGGTACTTGGTCTGCAATAGTTTCTGGGTGAGTGGAGTGCATCAAGTGTCATCCACATGAATGCAGGACCCAAGGTGTCCTAGCAGGAGACTGCAGAAAGATGTAGAAAGATGATCAGTGTTATTCACTTCACCTATCAGTGGTTTTTAGTTTTGGCTGATCGGTATATCTCTAATGTTGGTTCTGCAAGGTGAAAACTGACCAAAAATGGAACTTAGCCATTTGTAGACCTACATGCAAAAGCCAAAACATATTACTTCAACTGTTGGATGGACCAGAAATATTACAGACTCCATGTTTGAAAGGGCTTGTTATATATCTCTGTCTTACCCCAAATGCCAGTGCGCTGATGGGAAATGTAGTCCTCCAGACTAGCACGAAAGGTTGTCTCTCCCCCACAGCGGCCAACACTCCCATCATCCACCAGGAGGAAAGCCTGGCAGTTGTTGTCCAGGCAGCTGGAGTCACGTGATGTGTTCTGGACATAATAACGAGCAGGAAAACTCCCCTTCAAACAGACAACACAATGAATGTGAGGAGAGATGGAACCTACTCTGCTACCCTGCAGATCTGATCTCAGCTGGGAGCATCTGGCCAACAGACTCACACTGGTGTTAATACCAGCCAACACAATGACTCATACTTTGCACCTCCCACACATCCACTCCACACCACTGGTTAAAGAAATTTACAATACTCTGACCCTTTATGTTTACTAGGTTTATTTTTTCTTTGAGGCAGACTGGGTGTGCAGTGTTTGATTCATGAGATGCTCCATTTATTCCCCTCTCCACTTTACTGTGCTCTCAATGACAAATCATCACTACAGAAGTCTCTATCAAGTCTGTGATTTGCTGTTTTAAATACTGTCTAAAATAAAGCTGACATTGTCTTGTTTCTTGTAAAGCAATTTATCTTTTAGGAAATTCTAGAAAAAACAACTCAATTATAAAGAAAAACAGATCAAAGTCTGACCAAATGTCTCCCCTTCTGTTCCTGAGATATGACAGTGAACAATGGCCAGAAAAGTGTTTTATGACATTATGGTGTCATATGTGAAGCTGAATTTTGAATATGAAAATGTCAACACTTCATCATTTTATCATAATAGACATTTGTGTGAAGCTTTGTCATAATAAAAACATAAATTCTTGAGTTATGGCCAAAAATGTATTTTGTGAGGTCACAAAGACCTTGACTTTTGACCACAAAATTCTAATCATTTCTTCGTTAGTCCAAGTAAATGTTTGTGATAAATTTGAAGAAATTCCCTCAAGGTGTTCTTGAGACATTACCTTCACAAGAATGACACAGACAAGGTCACAGTAACATTGACCTTTGACCACCCAAAACTAATCAGGTCATCACTGAGTCCAAGTGGACATTTGTGCCAAATTTGAAGAAATTCCCCTAAAGTGTTCTTGAAATATCACATTCACAAGGGTGGGACAGATGGATGGACAATGCGAAAACACTATGTCTTTGGCAATGGCTATCTCTAGCGCGAGCTCATGAAAAGATGAAGACATATTAGCATGTGGTGGGTGAACCGCCCATCTCCAGCGTGCCAAACAGCATAGGAGAAAACTGATTTGTATCATCAAACTACTTTATTCAGTGTTTTTACCAGCTTTAATCAGCTGGTCTGTTTGTTTTAGAGAGGAAGAGATCTCTGTGGATAATTCAGCACCCGGTGAAAACCTCCTTAACAATGAACACTGAAGGAAATCTAATCTGAATAAGTTTCAGCTGGTTGCAATCTGCAATCCCTAGGTTCCAACCCTTTCTTGGCCAATGGAAGGAAGCAGCTCAGTTGCCCAAGATCAAAGCCATAAATAGGAGCAGTGACCAGCAGCAGATTTTTTGTAGAGCACATTGAGATGTAGATGTGTTTCAGATTTCAAGTCATCAGACTCGCGGTGTGAGGGGTGTGGCCTGTCAAAGTTTATACTTTTTCATCTGTCAATCATAGCTCCACCATCAGGCTGATTGGGATCAAATTTGATCAAATGTCAAGCATTAGGACATCATTTCCAGTTCTGGTGCACAGTCTATGTTTCTAGCTTATTCCAGGTCACTGAATTTGAGCAAAGGCATAATATAAAATGTAAAGCTAACTGTTAAAACTGCTGTGGTATGTGTTTCTATCCATCGAGGCTCTCCGGTGGGCAGTGTCAGATGTTTGCTGTGCGCTGACAGCCTGGATAACATCACATAACATAACATAACATAACATAACATAACATAACATAACATAACATAACATAACATAACATAAAGCACGGTCTGGGTTGGGCTTTACTCCCCTGAATGTGTGCAGTCTTTTAACAAAGTTAGATTTTATCCGAATCTGGGCTGTTTCTATTGATGCTGATGTTATTGTTTTATTAGAAACATGGCTTAACAAATCTACCTCAAATTCTGACATTTCCATAGATGGTTGTAATATATACCATTGTGACCAGCCTAAGCAAGGTGGAGGTGTTGCAATTTAGGTGAAGACTAAGTTTTGTGTTAATGTTTTGGTTTCTGAATCAATGTGTAATGAATCTGAATCTCTCGCTTTAAATGCGAAAGTAGCTATGGGCTTCTTTGTGACTGTTGTGGGTTGTTATAGGCCCCCCTCTGCTGTAAATGACACCTTGTCATCACTGTCACATCTTTTATTTCAACTTGAGTACAGTGAAATTGTTTTACTGGGTGACCTTAATTGGGACTGGTTAACCCCCAGGTCAGATGATTTCAAAAAACCTTTGTGTCTTTTTAAATGTTACTCGCACTGTAGAGCTCTACCGGCCCAATAGTGAATTCCCAGCTAAATCAACTTTAATTGACTTGATTTTAACAAATGTTCCTCATAAATACTCAGCTGTTGGAATATTTGCTGATGATGTGAGTGACCATTGTGTTGTAGCTGCTATTAGAGACACCAAGGCTCTGAAAGGTAAACCTCGCATCATTTTAAGAAGAGACACAAAAAATGTTGTTGAACAATGTTTTTTGTATGATTTATTTTACTTTGACTATCAAAGCCTCTAAATTATGGAGCTTTATCCCTATCTTTATTCAAGAGAGTGGTCTATCAGTTTGAGAGCATTATTTATTGATTTCAAGCTCAAAAACCCTGCCTTCGCACTCAAATAGCCTCTGCTTGTGCTTGGATCTACTCTGTTTCTGCTCAAACTGTGTGCTTGCACTCAGATACCATGTTGCTTGCACACAGATACCATATTGAACGCACTCAGATACCATTTGCTCGCACAGATTTCCTGCTCGAGCTTCGGCTTTTCTCCTCGCGCTCAAACTGTTTCTGTGCACTTGTAGAATTTCTGCTCTCAGATTTCTGCCCTGCTCTTGGATTTTTTTTGTGTAACAACCCTGTCAAAATCCCCCAACCAATAGAATGCCAGATTTACTGTTGACCAATGAAATGATCCCTGCCTCCTTGTGGGCGCGCTCGCCTTAGTTTTAGAGCGTCCCACCCGGGCGGGTACTCTTTAACCGGGTTCATCCACTCCCACCCTCCAGGGAAAGCCCTGTAAATTAAATGTTCTTCTCTGGCTTTCTTTACCACTTTTGGAATAAAGGGACTGTTAATTTACATACGTGCGCCATATATATATGATATCTTTAAATTTAATACTCTTTTGTCCCAGCTCATCAAACGTCTCTGTTACGTCGGCTTTGGGTCGACCCAGTGCCGTAGAATATACCCGCCCACATACGGAAGTCGCCACAGAAGACAGAATTTCATCTCTGCGGTGTTCGTTTGGAACTGAGCTCGCAGGACATGGCATCTTATCGCAGTTGGTTTCAGGTAAGCTATACTGGAATAAATTGGCAGAAAATAGCTTTGTTGTTTATTCTGTGACCATTAAAAGAGGTTCCTGGTGAGTGGTGTGGCACGACTGGGTGTATATAGGACATGTCCCCACCAGCTAATGTTATCTTTCGTTAGCTGATAGCTAGTTTAGCTCATGCTAGCTAACAGGCTACAACTGTGGTGTTTTCATTTTATTTTCTCTAGCTGACGTTATCTGCTCATCTGGTTATCGTGAGCACTCGTTTTGGGTTAAAGTGGAAGTGCCCAGAGCTGCCACCCGTGGTCCCGGGCAGGGCTCGAGACTTGGGATCCACTCACCTATGGTCCCGCCTGGGCCTGACCTCCGCAGCCCCCGGCCTGACCTCCGCAGCTTGGACGGATGCTCAAGTGTGGGTGAGAGGAACGGAGAGGACCACGGAGGTGAAACAGTGAAATTCAAGGATGCCTTCGGTATGTTGTTAATGTGATTTTATGGGCAATATATCAGTCGAGGTCTCCTCCTCTGCAAAGCAAACTGACCCGGTGGCTACAGGTAATAGCGCAGTTTTGAAGCCACTGTTTATCCGAGATGAAGGACTGATTGTTGAGCTGCTGTTAACAGTTTATGGAGTTAACGCCGGATCCCGTTATTTAACCGTTTCAACAATAAATTAAGCAGAGTGACCCAAAGCCTTCAATCTGCTAAAATACAGCTGAAATGCTAACAAAAAAAAAAAAATACAGTGGTGAAGTTGGGATTTTTTTATTTATTTTTTTTAAGTTATGTGCTCATCGTCTTTTCTGTCTCTTGTAGGCTGCCAGGAGAAGCGGACTGGCCATCAGATATTGTTTGTGGATATCTGAAAATAAAGTTTGTCAAATTTACTTTTGTTCTTTCATTGTGCACACTTACACACGAAATGGGTAACAGTCAAGCAAGTTTTCAATGTTAGCATTGATTTCTCACATTGAATGGTGAAATATTTGTAGTTTGAAAAGTCCGACCAAAATGAATAATGGTCGTAGATAACGAAGCATATGAATACGTTTGAACGTGGCGTGGTGGTCATTTTCGATTAAAGGCCGACGTCTCAGCGACGTCTTGGCAATGAGCAAACGTTCTCCCTGCTATGTGTAAACGATCTAAACTTGATGCTATCTGGGGTGAGTGCTGATATAGAGTATAACATCACTGGGACTTGTAACAGTAAAATCACTCTGTTCACAGGTGTTATAAATATAAATACAACTGTTAATTAACCAACTGTCACACTCGCTACATTGACGCAAACTGACACTAGCGTTACATCAAGAAGATGGATATTTTACCCAAAATTACATTTGAATTAAATTATGAGTGGTCATCAGGAGAGGACGAGGAAAAGGAAAGCCAGGACTCTTCAGTGCAGACCTCCAGGTGTGTTTGAATCCGGCCGTGCCAACATTCAGGTTTGCCAGTGTTTCATCAGCCGAACTGGACGAAGTTACACAGCTGCAGATCAATGTAAATACAAAGTAGCTTGTGAGTTCCTGGCGTGTGTGCTGCGTTGCCTGGCAACAGACTGGGGGAACTGTTTTTTTCGCGGAACTACATAACATACTTAAATCATTTATTTCATCACCTTTTGTTAACATTTCCTTACTCAGCATTGCTGTTTAAGCTGTTGTTGAACTGCTGTATAAAAGCAATATCACATGAGAGGTCGTGACGTTGTACTGTAGGCTATCGTCACACGGCTGTAATTGTCTTCGACACTCGGCCTGCGGCCTTGTGCCACAGTGCCCATGACCGAATCACAGCCGTGACGATATATAGTATCACTCCCTCTCGTGAGATATTGCTTAATTAAATACATACATATATATATGTATATATGTGTAAGGGATAATAGTGAGCCGGTGACTGTTGAAAAATAACTCACGACAGGGGAAGAGGGTGGGAGTGGATGAACCCGGCTAAAGAGTACCCGCCCGGACGGGACGCTCTAAAACTACGGCGAGCGCGCCCACAAGGAGGCAGGGATCATTTCATTGGTCAATAGTAAATCTGGCATTCTATTCGTGGGGGGATTTTGACAGGGTTGTTACACAAAAAAAATCCAAGAACAGGGCAGAAATCTGAGAGCAGAAATTCCACAAGGGCACAGAAACAGTTTGAGCGCAAGGAGAAAAACCGAAGCTCGAGCAGGAAATCTGTGCGAGCAAATGGTATCTGAGTGCGTGCAACATGGTATCTGAGTGCGAGCACACAGTTTGAGCAGAAACAGAGTAGATCCAAGCACAAGCAGAGGCTATTTGAGTGCGAGGGCAGGGATTTTGAACGTGAAATCAATAAAGAATGCTCTCAAACTGATAGACCACTCTCTTGAATAAAGATAGGGATAAAGCTCCATAAGAAGTCAGCCTATGTTCTCCCACTACTCTAACTTCATTAAACAATTACAGGCCCATCTCAAAGCTGTCAGTTCTTGCAAAGATCCTGGAACAACTAATAAGTGAACAGTTTAAAGCATTTTTATGTAATAATGCCATTCTATCCGAGCATCAGTCTGGCTTCAGAAAGCAACACAACACCAGTACCGCAACTATGATGGTGGTGAACGATATCATTGGCATTTTGGACATGAAGCAGAGCTGTGCAGCTCTATTTATTGACCTGTCCAAAGCCTTTGATTCTGTTGACTATCTTATTTTCAAAACAGAGGTATGAGTATTGGTATGTCTGACCAGGCCGTGGGCTGGTTTGTGAATTGCCTCTCAGAAAGGTCTCAGTGTGTTCAGTTTGATGGGGTCTTTAATATTATCCAGATTCAGCTCTCACAACTAAAGCTGGTTTTAAATGCTGATAAAACTAAGGTTATGCATTTCTCTAATGCTTGGAAGATGCCTCTGAACACTCCCTATGTTATTAATGCTCAGGGAAAGTTAGAGGTTGTCACTTGTTCCAAATATCTTGGTATTTGGCTCAATGACTCCCTGCCTTTCAAACCTCAGGTTGATAATCTTCTTAAAAAGCTGAAGCTGAAGTCAGGGTTTTATTTCAGAAACAAGTTCTGTTTCTCCTTTGAGGCTAGGAAAAGACTGGTTGCTGCTACGTTCTTACCAGTTCTGGATTATGGTGATTTGTTGTACATGCATCTGCATGTGCACATTGTTTGCACATGTTGGATACTACATATGATAGTGCACTGAGATTTGTTACAAATTGTAAAGCCCTCACTCATAACTGTATGCATTATTCCAGGGCTGGTTGGCCATCTTTGACCTTTTGTAGGCTCAATCACTGGTATTTGTTCATTTATAAAGCTATACTGGGTAAACTCCCTTCGTACATTTATACTTTGATTGAACAGAGGTCTAACCATAGCTATAGTCTTAGATCCCAAGATTTAGTTTTGTTGTCTGTTCCTAATGCACGGACTGGGCTGGGAAAGAAAGCTTTTATGTGCCCTGTTCCTCTTACTTGGAATAACCTTCAAAAAAGATTTGAAACTACATTAACTGGTCTCTCTGACTGCTTTTAAAGCTCTCATAAGTACAAGGATGAATGAGTCGGTTGGTTCTTGCCATTGTGTGTAGGTGTAGGTGCTAATATTTCTACATGTTATTGTATATCTTTTATGTTCTTTATTGTGTGGTTGTTTTGCTGTAACTTTTTGTGTGCTGCTGTCTTGGCCAGGTCTTCCTAGTGTAAGAGATTTTTTATCTCAACAGGACTTACCTGGTTAAATATGGGTTAAATAAAAAATGTAAAAAATAAACATCTACTTTAATTAGTTTCTCACAAGATATGACAGATTTGAAGATAAGATGTGAAAAGGGCATATTTGTGTACATGCCACAGTATGAGTGACACATGCAAACATCAGTGGAATCAGTAGAGAATTAGCAGATGAGTACCTGGGCATTGACAAGCTGCTGCCTGTTGTGCACCAGGCCCCAAGGTGCCAGCCCCACAGCAATCACTTTCTTCTGGGAGTCAGCAGGAGCCACAGCCCCATGGTCCCTCACCGCCTCGCCCACACAGCGGGCCACGCCTTCCCTCAGACCCCCAGTCAAGATCCAGGCCCCTGGGTGAGAGGATGAGAAGAGTAGTGAGGTGAGCTGTTCAGTAACTCAGCCTTCAGTATAGTATATACATACAAACTTATATAGTAAAGGCTGTCAGAACATAATATTGAGGCCCATTCTAATCTGTAAGGTGATTTTGGGTGTTTTGAAAGGTACCTTCTAATCAAAATCTGTTATTATTATTAAAATTAATATTATTATTATTATTATCATTAGTAGTAATAGCAGTGGAAGTAGTAGTAGTATTAATAATAATAATAGTAATAATCAGTTCTACTTTGCTGTTTCTGAATGTAGTGCTTGGCATTGATGAAAGCTAACACGTTCTGCATAGAAAGGACATAATTCCTCCCTCTGATGTGAGACATCTACAGGAATTATTGAGTGTAACTAAAAGTGGATCAAGAAAAAAAACAGAAAACAGAATTACTGTCCCAGGGGCATTTTTCTTGCAGTTTACATCCATGTCAGTGAAAACATGGATGCTTCACACACATCTTCTCCCTGACAACACAGAAGATCAGTACAGTCAGGACAGTTTCAAGGTGGACACCCAAGATTTGTGTCACCAATTAAAGGGATAGTTTGGGTTTTGTTGCCTATGGGTTACATTTGTAACAGGAAACCGATGGAATTGGGAGCCGGCGATGTTTTTATTCCCACAGCTGGGGAAATCACAAGTTCGCACCATTTTGGTATTCCTCTGTTTTCCTACAGCAGCTGACGAGGGTGTGTCGTGAGCCTGAGCCGGTGTTCGCGCTGTAGTAGTAGGGCTAGTACATCTTCTTCCTCACTAATAATAGCCTACTGGTTCTCTGTTGGAAACAGCCGATGAAGTTTTCGTTAGCTGTTGCTATCCTGCGCCCCTGTACGGCGTGGCAATGAACTGTATAATTGATTTCTGTTGGCGTGCTGTCTTGCGGGCCTGCACAGCGGAGTGATACTGGCCAGAAAATAGTCCCAATTGATAGCAAGGTCTGACGTAATGCGGGGATGTTTTAAAATTATTGAAATAGTCTAACAAAACACATGCATACTTTTTTGTAGCTTAAAACCTTTTGGTTACGTGTCCCCCTTCTATCTTAGGAACTACTTTTTCTCCGGTAAGCTACGGGCCATTTCTCAGAGCAGGAGGCTCATTGACAGTAGTGACACCGTCACATCAGAGCTACAGATGGTCAGCGTTTCACACAACTTCATGTCCAAAAACCCGAACTATCACTTTAACTATCAGGCCAAATATTTCCCCTTCTGTTCCTGAAATTTGACACTGAATAATAGCCAGAAAAGTGTTTATGCAGAACATTATGATGTCACAGTGAAGCTGACCTTTTGCATAAAAAAATGTCATCACTTCATTATTTTATTCTATTAGATGAAGTTTTGTCATAATTAACATATGAATTCCTGGGTTTTGGCTAATCAATCAATCAATCAATCAATCAATCAGTTTTATTTATAAAGCCCAATATCACAAATCACAATTTGCCTCACAGGGCTTTACAGCATACGACATCCCTCTGTCCTTAGGACCCTCACAGCGGATAAGGAAAAACTCAAACCCTTTAACGGGAACACATTTTGTCAGGTCACACTAACCTTGACCTTTGACCACAAAATTCTAATCCGTTTATTCTTCAGTCCAAGTGGATGGTTGTGTCAAATTTCAAAAAATTCCCTCATGATATCGCATTCACGAGAATGAGACAGATGCAAGGTCACATTGACCTTGACCTTTGACCACTCAAATCCAGTCAGTTCATAACTTAGTCCAAGTGAACATTTGTGCCAAATTAGAAAGAAAGAAATTCCCTCAAGGTGCATTCACAAGAATGGGACAGGCATGGTCACAGTGACCTTGACCTTTAACCTATGACCACCAAAACGAATCAATTCATTATTGAATGCATGTGGACACTTGTGGCAAATTTAAAGAAATCCCCTCAAGCTGTTTGAAATATTGCGTTCACAAGAATGAGATGCATGCAAGGTCACAGTGATCTTGACCTGTGACCTATAACCACCAAAAACTAAGCAATTCATTGTTGAGTCCAAGTTAACATTTGAGCCATGTTTGAAGAAATTCCCTTGAGGTGTTCTTGAGATATTGGCCTCTAGTTTCCCGGCGCGGCGCAGGGTGGCGAACCCCGCGCAGAGCTAGTTTCGAGCAGCGCAACCCGAGGCGCGCTCAGTTTGGTAGTTTGGCAGACAGAGGTGCGCTGAGATGGGTGTGGCGGCACAGCAGGGGGAGGTGTCGACAGATCCAGCTTGGCGCAATGACATTTTTGTGCCAAAAGGCTTCGCCGAAGGTGCGCTAAAAGCTCGCCAGCTGAAACCAGGTCTACTGTCAGCGCAGGCGGAGCAAAGCCGGTGTAGTGGAAGTTTGGCTGACCGGCGGACAGTGCACACACATCACCAAAACCTCACAGGCAGGTTTCCAGAATATCAGGCACATTAACAATGCAATAAATACCCACAAAAACCACTATTCAATGCAACTGCTGGGATTCACAGGACCACAGATGATTTATCATTTGGTAAAATCATCATTGATTTCAAGGCTTTTTCCTCTGCATGCTCTTTGTCTTCAAACAGAGAGAGCTAGGTGTCACCCATCTCCACAGGAGGTCTCACCTCACACCTCAGTGAGACTCAAGTCCCAAAACTTGATTGGACCTTTAGAGTGACATGTGACTCTGATGTCACAGGCATCTGTAGATTTGTGCTCCCTTCCAACAGATTCTTTTCTCTTTTTTGCTCCAACCGTGGAGCAGTGCTCTTCTTGCTCCAGCTGTTGAACAGCTAACACCTCTTCTGTTTGGGCCTGGACAGCAGAGGTCCAAACCCCTGCTCCATAGCCCAAACCACTAAATGGAGGGCAACTGATCACAGACTCTCTGGCAAACACAAGGTTTGCAAACTGGCTTTCCAGCAACAAGGAACTAAGTGAGTTAGCACCCAGCGTCTAACTCTTGAAGGACCCCGAGCAACCAGCTTCCTCGGATCAGAACCTTTGGAACAAAGGACAACAAAAACTGCAGCTGGAACCATCTTCCCAGCCTTCTTCTGCCGGCAAACAGCAGTACGCCACTGAGTGACTCTTTCCTCCATCCATTCAAGGATCGGTAATGTAACAACTGGGCATAGCTTATCACAGCTTTACAGGCTAAGCAAGACTGTTTGACTTGTTGTATGTTATTTGATGCTGTTTACTGAGTTGCTGTTGTGATAAATTGCAGTTAGGTCATTGATTAGTTGGCTTCGCCACAGCTAAGTGTTTAGTTTGCTAATACTGTCCACAAACAGATTCTTGCATGAAACTAAACAATCTCTGCACTAATTCAGACCGTTTGCAACACACGTCACATTGACATAGACTCATTAACAAATAGGCTTTCAACAGAGCTACATCCAGACAGGCATTTCAAAGTTCCTGCTTCTTTTCCTTTGTCGTTGTCCTGACCACACGGTCCGACAGACACCTCCCTCGACCGGAAGCCAGCCTTGATTCGGCCATTTTGGTAGTTCTCTGTTGTCAGCCATTTTGTTTTGTAGGCCAAACGGCTACTTGATCACCACACTCGCCTTTGTCTTTCCCTTTTCTCTCTCACACACACACACACACATACACACCAAGCTTGTATATAGTTAGTTAGAATTTGTGTGTTTTGGTTTGCTTTGCTAATTTGTGAATAAATGTAATTCTTTGGAATCATGCCTGCTGTCTGTTTAATTTTGCATAAGGGTGAATGAATAGTCAACCTCTGCTGCGTCAAGAACTCCAAAATCCTTCAGGCGTTACTGTTAATTTTGGTTGTTGTCATTAATTTAATTATTAATCAAACTCCAAATTAATAGTTCAGCCTATTTTATGAGACTGATATCTTTAACTGGCTATCATTTTTCCCTTTACGGGAATGGTGCCCCATGAGGTGATTTAATGTTAATTAAGTCACATTATTTAACATAATTATTAATTATTTCCGATAGCCAATTTAACCCCAACATATTTGGTGCCTCCGTGTGAAGCCTAAGGTGTTGACCCCAACATATTTGGTGCCATCGTGTGAGGTAAATATATGTTGATTCCCAACACAACTATCTGCAATCAGCACATAAATGTATCTCTATATTGACTGTCCCGTCACATCTGATGTCAGATCAAAGGTGATTGGCACCGTTTGGCACGTTTGGCATGCGTAATGGAAACCCAACCTGATTTGATTAACACAGCTGCAAACTAATGAGTTCACATCCCTCTCAGCCAACCACAAACAGCCACAGCATCAGATAGGGAGTATATATTCAGCATCTGTCATCTTAGAAAAGTCAAAAGAAAAGAAACGGAGTGAGACAGTGAGAGAGAAAGAGAGAGCGCGCGCGCACGAGAAAAACGCTGTCAACAAATTGTAAGTTATGTTCGGTGTCTTAAGGGTTAACGTTCTTCATGTGATTGCCTATACAAATGTTAAAATGTTCTTGCTTAATGTGATCGACAAAGATGGAGTACATTATTGCGAGGAGGAGGAGGAGGAGGACTTACGCAGAGAGAGCCTGAACCGCATGTGCCGAATCAGCAGGAAGAGCATCAGGGCACACGGGAGAGGAGAGACCACCTGGCTGCACAGCTCTGTCCTTAAATGTGAGTATTTCCGTGTACATTCATTCACACATTCATGGTGTAAATTTACTCAATCACATTAAATATAGGCTACAACAAATCACCCAAAACAAATTATTTCAATGTTCAATTATTATTGACCCCCCCCCCCCTTCCTCTTCTTCCTCTCTGGTTAGCGATACCTCCACACCACCTGGGTGTGGGGATCGTGGCCGTACCCTGTGGCAGCAGGCGCTCGGCTGCGTCCGCCAGCCGACGCAGGCTGGCGTCTATCGAGGCCAGCGGGAGCAGCCTGTTACTCACGCCCCGGAGCCGGTCTTCCACTCCTTGGAGCTGGGCCTCTAACCCCTGGACCCGGGAGGTTAGAGAGCCCGGCTC